TCGCTTTCTCGGTGCCGCGCGGTGGTTGATGTTCGGTTCTCATGAGCAACACGTTCCTCCTCGGTTTTGCCGTTCCGAGGAGGGCTATCGATGCCGACGTTGAAGATCGCGCCCCGGAAGGGGTGGGAGGAGTTTCGAGAAGGTTTCGGCGTGGGTTTTACAGAAGGTATGTCACACGCGCCCGAGCACTTTTGGCGATGGAGTAAAGGTATGTGCCCGCTTGAGGCCCTATCCGCTGATCCGCATTGCACTATGTTTTTGATATTAGGGTTGGGTTCGCCGATCCGATTTGATTTTCTCCATCGTGCTTCAGAGGCGCTTTATGTAGTACTACTCTCACAATGGATTCTAGCGGGTGCCCCATTTGGTAAGTTCAATTTTGATCTGCACTAGAAATGGTAGACTTGTTTAGAACCATGCCGTAGGATATTGTTCTAACTCGCTGGTTGTTTTGTTGTTGATTCATTCTATCGATTGATCCCGGCAATACGTTTAGATTAGTTGTTAAGGTTGGTAAATATGTCGATGATGGGGAGTATGGGCTAGTACAAATGGTCGAAAGCAAGAGCATGAGTTGTGGTTGGATAGGCTGGCGGTATATTACGGAGAAATTTTATGATGAGATGGCCACAAAGATCATCGGGGCCATCCACAAACACTATCTCGATCTGAGTAGTTGACCCTTAACGGGTGGTTCGAATGGAAAGTGAAGGATGAGCATTTTCAAAGAAATGGTAAAGGATAGATAGGGGGACAAAGGGTTGCTTTTCTTGTAGTTGACGTTGTCAATAAACATGCATACTCTAGTAATGATAGTTCTATGCGTGAGATGTGCATCTAGTGCCGATCGGTGAAGGCAAAGGAATTCCTAGAAATGTAGGAGGCGGTGGTTCTAATGTACCGAGAATGCACGAGGCACTTGGTGATACATGTAGTTCGCCACCTCCATCATGCTGGCTGACATACGAGCCAGTGTGAAAGGACCTAGGATGCCTAGAGGAGGGTGAATAGGCGTTTACGAAATTAATACCTTTAAATGCGAAAACAATTAGAAAAGGAGTTTCCAAATGGAAACTCCAAATAAAGAATAATACCACCCCTCACAAGTTAGCCACAGAGTAAACAAGGTATAAAGAATATATCTAGAAGCTACAACCCCGCAACACAAAGTTAGAACAGAGAATAAATATTTTCAAAGACAGTAGGGAATATCGGACGTGTCCCAGATACATCGATTTCTTCAGAGAAGCCCCAAACTTGCTTCTTTAGATTTCTATCTTCAAGCCACACTGCAGGTACCTACTAGAGATGACAATATACATAGAGAACCTACACAAGAGCTGGAGCAACACAAATATCAAATGAAATATGAATTGAGACACGATATTTGTTTTACTGAGATTCGGACTCATTTGAGTCCTACTCTCCGTTGAGGGGTCTGCAGGCGACCAACGAAGGTCAGCCCTAAAGGTACCACGAAGGTCACTCTAGTCGAGTCTTTTTCCAACTCCTTTTCCTCCTTCCACTAGTTGATTCCGTGGCGGTGAATCGGACTGCTCTAAAATTTCCAAGGCACACCACAATCTCTGAGGTGCTCTCCGTGACGCTTAGCCGTCTAGGACCGAATCAAAGGTAAGAGTAACAAATGCAAATCACAAGATTGACAATATGCACAAGTGCTTAGTGGTTGGATTCTCTCCTTTTGAATTTCACTCAACCCACAATTTGATTTGGCAAATTTGATGAATCACTCACTAAGAGAGGGTTGGGAGAGTTGGCAAGGCTAAAAACGTGTATGTATCAATGAGAAAGCTGACCTCCAAAGGTGGAGGCTTGGGTATATTATAGCCCCCTTGGAAAAACTAGTTGTTTTATAGTCGTTGTCATCATACGGACACATCCCAGTATGACTTACATGCTCCAACGGTAACTAAGTTACAGTGATGTTGTGAGGCATCGAACTCCCGATGAATGTCGGAACTTTCGACCGTCGGAACTCGACTCACGCCGGAACTCCCGACCCTCAAAGCACATTTGAAAAACATGGTAACCGAGTTAAAAGTATGTGAGGTGTTCTGAACTCCCGACATGCCGGAACTTCGACCATCGGAACTCATGACCCTCAAGGCATTTGAAAACTAGCCGTTGGCCTCTGGCCGTCATCCATACGGACGGACAGTATGACCAAGACGATGAACACTCTAAGTCAGTTAAGCATGAGACGCCGGAACTCCGACCATTGCCGGAACTCCCGACGAAACAACCCGAGAACAACAAGAATTTTTTATCGGTTGGGCACATACCGGACACGTCCGGTATCAATTGCCGCATCAAGCAAAAAATCAGTTAGCTCTTTTGTCTCTCAAACACTCAAAACTCACATGGGTTGGCATAAGCACTTATGAATGATTATCAATCAACATGATGCATCCCTCTTAATAGCACGGCATTCCTATTAACTCAAACTTTAAAAGTATAACGAATTTAAACCTTTTGAGTTGATCTCTTTCAACCGAAGCCGTGTATTCCAATCTTCATCAAGTGAGGGTGCTAACATGTTAATATTGATCTTTTCACTTGAGAGCATAGCTATCTTGAGCACGTGACTTGATTCCATTCATCAAATTTGAATAATCCCAAATGTATCAAGTCACATCCATCAAACACTCCAATAGTGATTTGATCCTCCACATTAACATGACCATCATAGCTTGATTAGTACCTCAACTAAATGCAAGTATTTCCGTCTTCACCCTAGCTAGATTCTTCGACCGCTTAAGCCGCCGCTTGCCCTTCACCCTTGCTTAGTACCTCAAAGTCTTTTCTTGCTATCTTCACCATCTCAAGCCATCAAGTCACATCTTGTGTTGAATCATCCATTCATTTGTATTGTTATCTTTTTATTTCAATTTAACAAGCTTCAAATATGAGACCATTTCATATGCGATCCTCATGTCTCATTAATTAATTCTTACTAGCTTGCTTTCACATAGTATATGGAAATCCTATAATAAAGAAGCCTTTGTATGAATTACATTTGCATTGTTGTCTTGTGCTTGAACTAGATTGTTTATACAACAACACATCATTTTGGCTTTCATTAAGTACCTATAAGATAACCTATTACCTGTCCACACTTAGCAAACGGGTTAGACATTTAATCACATTGTCATTCAATCATCCAAAACCCACTAAAGGGCTAGATGCACTTTCACAAAGGATTAGGCAAGATTTGGAAAGCCTTGCCCACATGCATTGATCTGTAATCACAACCCCGAGGCAACCCAATATGGACATGTATGTGCACAACTACTACTCAGTTGAGAAGTTCAGTTTGCATACCGTGGGATCATTCCCAACATAATGAGATAGAGGACAATGGCTAGAGGTGGACAAGGGCTTCAAGTTGTTCCCACCAAATATGAAGAAGAGAGACCCAAAGTGCATGTAAGAAGAAAAGGCATCTGCTCCATCTCGAGAGAAGTGGTAAAGCAAGAAGACATGTCAAGTGCCCCGGATGTGGTGAGTATGGCCACACAGTCTAAAAGCTAGAGGTGTTCCCTCGACCGGCACCAAAAAAAAGATAATGTACTACCCCTACTGTTAGCTACAATTCTAACTGTTAACCACTGACCCTAACAACTACATTACAGGAAAAGAACTAAAAAGTCAGCCCCTAAACCTAGAAGGAAGAAGAGCCAGACAAATCCTACCCATAGTGGAGGAAATACAACAAGAACAAGGACAGTAGTGCCTAAAGAAGCAGCAGCTAAGGCAACAAGGGAGGCTCTAGAAGCTACAGCTAAAGCTTCTGTAACAGCTAAAGCTACAACTGCTGCAGAGAGAGAAGTCCTAGATATGGCGCCAATTGAGGTTGAGCATGCACCACCTTCAACCACTGCAGCAACTAGAAGGTATGCCCTACTTCAAAATACATGCTTGACCAAAACTTACTGATGCCATTCTGATAACATGTCTTGCATTCAACGGGAATCTCTGCTGGGATCTATAAGTTGTGAATGAGGTAGATGAAACAGCAAGTGCATCTGTGGACCCACCACCTAAGAAAATGACTCCAAGGAAGAAACAGCTGGCTACAAAGGTGAGGAAGAGCCCAGCCAACAAAAAGAAAAAATGAGAGCACCATCAAGGACAAATTCATTTAGATTGTAAAGGCTCAAAAATTGTCTCTTTTGTGTAACTAAGGCCTTCTGTTGGCCAGAACATGGATATGTATGTGGCCAAAAACAATGTACGTGGCCAGCTCAGTGTGTGTGGCCAGAATAATGTGTGTGGCAAAACTTTGTGTGTTTCATGTCATTGGATTTAGTACCGCTGGTTAATGTCATTTAATGAATGTGTTTCATCTCATCATTGTGTTTGACCTTATTTGGTTCATACTAGCTGGTTACTTTGTATGATGAGTTATGGTTAATGGTTTGTGTCTGCTTCATTGCTATGTTTTGATATGCCCAAAATCTAGCACTAAACACACATTCAACCAGAAATTTCATTTTCATTCAAGCACATTTTGCATTTCCATTCATCTGTACATTGTCACTTTATTACACCATACATCGGTACAGATCCTAATGCGGTGGTTTACTTTCTTGGCGATGGCGGTGATATTGGGCGGCGCGGAGCAGAAGAAAGACGGAGGAGGAGGAGAGAGTCTTGCCGGGCCTTGAGGAGGATAAAGACGTGTAAGGGGGAAGGTCTTTTATCTCGAGCTCGCTAACTTTCGGATCCGAGCTGGACAATGGTTAGCGAGTTACGCGAGCAAAAGTGATAAATATGTATTATTTTTCTCTTTTTACTGCTAAAAAAGTAGCGCTAAAACTGTTATTTGAGGAGGAGCCGTCCGTTACGGTGAAAAAAAATTAAATATCCCCCTATCGTGCTACTGGCGCCAAAGGTAAAATGTCGTACACCATCCTTGAGCTTTGAGCTTGACACCCGGTGGAGCAAATGATTCACTGCTGTGTCACTGTGGGCTAGGGATGGATCCATCAACCTATGCCATGATGCAGAACATGCGGGCAGAGAAGGCGGCCGCCGAGGCGGCGGCAGCGGCGAAGGTCGCCGTGAAGAGTGAGCCCGGCTGCAGCGCTCCGCCGGCGGCGGAGAACAACACAAAGGAGGCCACTGGTCACGGGTGGGTGTCTGTCCCGCCCGGCTTCTCCACGCGCCAAAAACGAAAGCTGCAGCACGCCCCGGACAGACATGACGGCGACACGGTCGGGTGGGAGGCGGCGCGGCAGCTTCTGCAGGGCGTCATCACGCCGGCGCGGGAGCGCTCGTTCTTGGTGGCGGATCCCTTCTCCGTCATCGCGACGAGCTACATCGCGACGCTCCAGGTTCGATCCTGATCCTTGGCGGCGCCTCGCGGCGTGGGTGCACGTAGTAATGCAGGCGGCGAACTACGCGACGTGCTCGTTGGGGCACGCGCTGAAGCTCCAGGAGGAGCTGGAGAAAGCCAAAGGCGGCGGCGGTGGAGGAGGCACTCAAGGGGTATGAGCGGGGCATGGAGGACATGAAGTGCGTCGCGCTGCGGCTCCGCCCTGACATCGACGCGGCTCAGCTGTTCGTGCCTCCTGGCGGGTTTCAGTAGCTGTGCCGTTTGGACGAACTAATTGCAGTGAAACTTCTGTAAATTTCTATAGTAGCTAGCAGGCTCCCTGCCACCTTGACATGGCGATGATCTGTTTTGAACCAAATGCCCAGTAGGTTGAATTCCAAACGGTGTGGATCCAGCTTTCGTTGTAATGCTACTGCTGCTTCGTTAAAATACTCGGTCTATGTTCGTGCTATGTTGAACTTCTCAAACGACCATGTTAATAGAACATATATATATTATGCTGAATTTAGTGTAACTAAGTTGATGCTGCACAAAGTTACATAAATGTGAACAAAAACAGCTTGCATTTTAGAAAAAAAAATGAAGTAGATCGTTGTCTTCTCTTTTGTTTCTACGGGATTCCTTCAATTTGTTTCTATCTGAACTCCAAGAGCAGATCGTTGTCTTCTCTTCTATTGCTTGCCCTTCAGTGAAATTTATGTTTTTTCAGTCTTTTATAAGTTGACTATAGTCAACAGTGGGATATAAGGGTAGAAATTTGCCCAAAAAAATTTGCTATGTATGGGATATTCGATTTTGTGATGGCAAATCAGAGATACGAAGATTTTTGCAATGGTATGAGGGCAATTTCCTGTTCTGCAATGAAGAAATATCGGAAGCAAACAACGATGCCAACACATGAAACACTTTTAACTTAGGAATTGGGAGGCAAATACCATCCCCATTTGGCAACTAGCTAAATGGCGGACAGATTCATCACAATTTTCTCAGGTTACAGGCTTACAGCTTGCGAGCTGAGAAGATTTATATGCACACACTGACACTTATAATATATTGGTAAAAAGATCATTTATCCTTTCCCACTATCACTAACGCCACCTGCACGTCCACATTTACAAACCAGGTGAAGTGTGGGGAAACATGGAAGAAAATAGAAGGATAAACAGACCTGAGATCGCAAAGATCTCAATTACTAACTGTCAAGTATATCAAACTCCGAGTCTTCAATGACATCCCATGATTCCTTCTTTGACAGTGATACAGGTGGAGTTGGCTGTGGAGGCCGATGGCTGGATGAAGCAGGTTTTCGTCTGACTGAATCCTGGCGCACTGAGGAGCTAGCATAGGGGAGGTGCCTCCGGTCAGAGAGAAGTGAATCCATGTATTTGTCCATGACAACGACGTTGGCACTATCAACGTCGCTCAGCTCCTCGCTACTGAGGTATCTTTTACCTTCTCTGTAGGATTCCACATCTGAAGGTATTTCAGACCACTGATCCATGCTTTCCTCAGATTTCGACTTTGCAAATACCCATTGGTCAATGCTTCGCTCGGATCTTGTCTTGGGCAAAGCACGGCCATCCGAAGATTGATACCCTTCTTGGTTGCTTTTTACACTTTCTATCTCACAGACGTGAGGTGGAGAATCTGACTCTATCTCATTGTTGTGATGTACAGAATTTGGCACGCTCTGGGTATCTTCCTGCACGAAGAATTAATAATTACTAATTAGTAAAAAGATTAATAAGGATACATTATCGTATCATATAACACATAACTCAATTTATTAGTTCGTTTTTTCAGAGATGCTGCTTTGTGGAGAAGCTTAAAGATGATCTTATTAAGCCCAAAGATCATTCATCATTGACAACATATTCAGCACTCCAGTGTCCAGTCTACATTAGGGCAAAATGGGGAAACTGCCTCCAGAGGATAGTCAAAATAGCAACTAATAACAGTAAGATATGGAAGTCTAGACACTATTGGCAATGTGCATGGTGCTTGGTTGCTTCCCTAGCCTGGGGGCTGCTGGCCAGGCAGCTTGATCAACCCTAGGCGTTGGAAATTATAACACCTGCGAATGCTGCGTGGGCCAAACATGTTTCCCAGGTCAGCAAGCAAACAAGCACGTACCAACATAGTGAATCCATAGGATGTAAGGTAGCAACCGATTTTGTAATCTGACAAAATGCAAGATTTAATACTGGTCTTGCATACAGGCACTGATGAGAGATGACTATCATACGCAAATACTTTCTCCGGTCATAAAAACATGTTTGGGACAATATTTAGTCAAACCTTTAAAACTACAAACATCAATAAATTTTAAATTATTTTGTTTCAAATCATGCAAGTTTATGGTGTAGAATTGTATTGAAAATACTTGTTAGTTAAATCTCATAAAGTTGAAGGGTTCTGAGAATATAAAAGGGGGCAGACCAGTGCGGGAGGCTCCCACATGAGTGGGGTCTGGGGAAGGAAAAACCGAGGCAAGCCTTCCCCCGCAAAATCTGGCGGAGGCTGCTTTGAACCCGCGACCTGGAGTGAGACAGCTCTCACCACTCGCACCAGGTTACGAGAATATATTCTAGAAAATAATTCAGTGGTCAAAGATATTGTAGATCAAAGACCGTGCAAATTCTGGTACAAATTCACACTTCACCTAATGAGATACCAGTTCCTATAAAGGAAAATTCTATACATTTAATTTCATTTCTGTTGCATTCCTAGTGCATACGGAAGATTAAGATTTTCAGCTGTAAACTCAGTGGTGCAATCCATGTTTTATAAGGCAACAAAACATTCTGTATGTATAATGAAGAACAAAATATATTAGAATGACTGCAATGGGATTCACATTTCCAATCGGTTCAGCAACATTGTTTCAGTGCATAGTGCACACAATCTATTCTTCTAGCACTGCTATAGCAAAAAACATTTATACAATTTATGGAGTACCTCATGTTATCAATATCTGCTGACCTATTTTGTATCCTTAAAATACTAGTATTTGCTTGCTGAAATAAGATGACATTTGATTGATGACACAAACTGTTACTTAGGCACTGATATTGTTTGTGTTAGTTCTGCAATGCATAAATAAAATCCATCTCGAAATGGATCACACCAATGTATGATCAAATCTTTGCAGCCAAACTAGAAGCTGAAGTGCTGAACGATATAGATACCCAACAAGCTCAAAGATATGCAAACTGTTTGGGCAGCCTAACCTAGCATGATTCCAGAATTCATAGTGATCTGCTACATATAACGACTTGTGATGCCATAAATGTGATTTTTAAGTCAACAGAATCCGCTGAAAATAAGAGTTTTTCTAGTAATTTATGCTTCTCTAGAAGTTGGGATTTTCTGTAATAATAAATTAATAATATCAATTATTCCCTTCATTCCAAATTTGTGACATTTTGGCTTTTCTAGATACATAGCTTTTGCTATGCACTTAGATATACACTGTGTTAGATACATAGTAAAAGCAATGTATCTAGAAAAGCCAAAACATCTTATCTTATAATTTGGAATGGAGGGAGTAGTAATTTCGAACATGCATAGTATTTTGAACCCCGTTTGACGTAGAGGTTTCCCATATTATAGAAAGAAGTATGGCTTAATAAATACATGAAATGTACAAGGAAAAGAAAACTAGTATAAATGTGCTTCGTGCTCACTTTGCTAACAGGCTATGCTATGATGACATCTCAGTTTCAAGACCACATAAGTTTCATTCAAACTAAAACTAGTATATAAAATGCGGTCTACCATCAAAATTCAAATGTATGCTACAAGAGAGTGCTGCACAAAAAATGAATATACCTCAGAACTATGCTCAATTATGTTCGACTCAAGCAACCTAAAGTAAATCTTCCAGAATATGTCTTCATCCATGTAAGAAGGGCAGAGCCTACCCGTAGAGATGCTAAATCTGGGACAAGTTTTTCAATGGATTCCATATGATCTCTTTGGATATCAGAGATTACAGAATCTGCAAAAAGAATAAAACAACATCATGGTATGACTAAAATAGTCACACACAAAAAAGACATTAATAGAAGTAGAGACAAAAATGCATAGCACAGAAGAATAAAAGCCACAAATAATACTTCTAAACGGGAGCTAAGTAAAACAACTCACAGTACTAAGCCTGTATTTTTCAAGATTTCAGTCATGATCATGCCATACATAATTGATCCAAGGAGTAGGGAAGAAAAACTTGACCAAGTATTGCACAGAAAAAAACAACGCATCTTGTCATCTATTTTCAAACATCAAGCAATTTACTAAATATAGTTGCTTATGTAAAAAGTACCTCTTATACAGCTGTAGAACAGTACACCATTCTTCAAAATCCATAAATGCATCTCATTTATACTAACTCTTGTGTGTATTTAATATAATAGGAAGTCAAATCTATAATAATGAATACCACATGGAAGATGGAACAAAAGTACAAAACAAAATCATGACTTCACGAGACCTGTACTCAGCAGCAATACAGCATACAGGACAAACACTCCCAACATCCAAGCATAGTACGTACATAATAAGAGTCTCCACTTTGTTTCAGCCTATTCCAGGCAACTTCATAGTCAATCAAATGAGCTAAAAAACCAAATAACACACTGAACAGCTGTAAAACCCCGAAATTTAAAGCTGGAAACATTGGATATTTTTTTTCTATTCGTCCTCTGATCATCACATCCATCAATGCTCTCAAAGTAATAACTTGTTACACATGCACTCGCATGCCATTATCCTACGACGAGCACTAATCTTAAACATCCCGAGTACTATCTGAGTGCCTAATTAAGTTCCCTCTGCTCTCAATTCCACTAAAATCTACTGTGTGGAGTAACAACTAACAACCCCCATACCAGCAACCTCTACACCCGCCCCAGGAAACCACTCCACAGGAAGCACCAGCACAGGCGCAATCTGCGTAGGCAGATGCCAATATTTGCAGAAGTAGCAACAATCGTGTAGGTGTCAGAAATCGAGAAAAGATAATTACCCTCATCTAGGGCGAGCACGGGGAAGTCGATCCACGCCTCGGGGCGCGCGGCGAGGGCACGCGCAGCTCCCACGACATCATCTACGATCGGCGCGGCAGCAGCAGGCGAAGGCGGGGATGCGGCGGCCTGCTGCGACTCGAGCGCGGCGGGGGCGGGACGGTCGGGCGGCGGCGGCGAGGACGGGGCCGCGGCGGCGCGGGAGAAGCCGCCGCGGAAGGAGCCGCCGATCTCGGCGAGGTCGGAGAGGATGCCCGCGAGGAGCGACGGGGACGGCGGGTGCGGGGACGGGGAGCGGCGCGCGCGGCGGCGGGGGGCCGGGCCCGTCGGGGTGGGCGGCGGGGAGTCGGTGTGCGCCGGGTTGAGGAGCGGGTGCAGGAAGCAGGCGATGTCCAGCAGGTGCCGCCCCAGCTCGGAGAGGTCGTCGCGGACGCCGCGCAGCCCGCGCGCCATCCGCCCGCCGCCGCCTCGCTTTCGCGATTGCTTTGCGGGGTTGCTTCCTTCTCCCTTTGCTTTCGCTGGGGCGGCCTTGGCGTGGTGTGGGGTGAGGTGAGGTGGGCTCGTGGGGTGGGGAAGGCAATGATTGGGACTTGCGGCAGCAGGAGCCGAGAGGAGGTGCCCGACTCGGGAGGTAGAGAGGCTTCCGGTGCCGGTTCCGCACGGCGGCACGGGTTCGAGTCGGGGCCGCGCCCGCCCGCTTGGGGCGGGCCGTTGGTTGGGTGATCGATCGGTGATCGCGCGCGTGTGCCGCTGGGTGCGCGCACACGGACGGACGTATCCGGCTCCGCCGGCGGGGTGCGCCGTTCCAGAACGCCAGATGCTGCTGCCGGTGGTTGCGCGATGAGAGAAATAGACAGATCGGCGACCGCTTCCACCGGTGGTTGCGTCAAGGCTCCGTGAAACGGCGGCAGACAAGCGCACTCCAAGGGGAAAGACATGGCCACACACTAACTAGCACTAGCGCCAGCAAAAGCATGGAGCAACTTTCTGGCTTCATAATGACATGTCGATCAAAACCGTCCTGTTTCATTCGATCGCACAAAGTCAGCTGCTAAAAAGAATGCCTGCATTATTCAACCGTATCCAGTGTATGTTCACCAAGAATAATCCAATATATCTCAATCTCGACTCTCAGCTGCACATGAACAGGTGACCAAACTCTACGCGTATAATATACATACAATCACCTCCTACGTACGGGACACCACTGACGACTGACCCCTGCTTGCTATACACTCCAACCGACGCTATGATATACTCTCTACCTGTGTCTGTGTCTGTGCTACAAATTTCCTTCTCACAATGGCAACAAGAAAACGGGCAAAAAGAATGAATGATGTGGTAACAGCAGCGCTAACGCAACCAAGAAATTGACCGCCGGACCGGGCGTGGGTACTAGTAGACTAGATCAGCCCCGTGTAGACGTTGCCGGGGCCGGCATGGAGCGGCATGCCGGCGGCGCCGTAGGGGTGCGCGCCGGCGGCCGCGAAGGGGTTGCCGAACGGGTTCGCGGGGTTCTGTTGCATCTGCATCTGCATCGGGTGGTGGACCACTGGTGCCGGCGCTGGGGCCATCGTCATCATCTGATGCTGCTGCAGCATGAAGGCCTGCTGCTGCTGCGCCATCGCCGCCATCTGCACGCCGTGCGGCGCCGCGTACCCGTTCGAGGCGTAGAACGGGTCGTGCATCGCCGGCGCCATCGTCAGCATCGGGGCAGCCGTGGCGGGGGTCGCCTCCCAGGGGTTGTAGCTTGACGGCTGGCTCGCTCTCCGGTTCGCCTCGTCGTAGAGGCTGTCAAGGGTCAGCAAGTCCAGACCACCGGCCTGCACACAGTTTCAAATTTCAGTAAGCAAACAATGATGAGCAACCTGCCAATTCCTGTCTGGAAAATGCTGAATTTACGAGATAAAAGTGGTTCAGCAACCTACCAGTTTCTTGCTTGGGGCAACGGCGGTCTCATTTGAACTTGGTGCTGTCACAAGGGCCAGTTCCCAGCCTGTGACTCCATTTTCAAAGGTAGGAGCAGCTTTTGGAACATCATCTGCCACAGTGAGCCAGAGTAAGCGGCATGCCTCTCAGTTAACCAATTTCATGGTGCCACTAGCTTTCATTCATGAGAAATGTACCTATCGGAACAATTGCTAGCGCCAAAGCATTCTGCTCTTCTATCGCGGTCGCAGCAGGGTTCGGTTCGTTCAGACCCTAAAGAGCGAAAAGAGTGTTAGCAGAAAAATGTATGACTAATGGCTGCTTCATAGTAGTAGCAAAGAATGTTACCAGCAAATCCGGTTCAGCTTCTGGTGCTTCCTCTTTCACTGGTTCGGGTTCTGGCTCAGGCTCTTGTTCCGGTTCTGGTTCTGGAGCCGGAGGAGGTGAAGCCGGTTTTTCTTCCTCCTCTGGCTCTTTTTTGTATTCTATCGCTAGTACAGCCTGAAACAACTAAAGTACGCTTAGAGACAAGAAGACTGAGTAAGAACTGTATAACAAAATGAACAAGATGGTTGAAGGGCCTCCTGAAAACTTCAAGCTGAATAGTTGATAGCAATGCTATAGTTCAACAGTGTGTGGGGATCATTTACTCAGATGAAAATGATACTCGTGCTTTCTATTTTATTCCTTAGTACTATGCATTAATTTGGAAATCCCAGTATATATTCACATATTTTTTCACATATAAGGTTATTAAAAATGGCATATTTCACAGAGAATTATGCAAAACAACACAGAGCTAATTAGCTTGAATTGTTTCTGAAGTGGATTCATCATCATCAGTTTGTGGGCATACTGATATGCAAATGAAGATAGCTTATTGATGTTCAAACATCCTATCAGTAAGTGAATTACTTCTTGTAATTTCCATACCTTTTCTTTTTGACCTGTCGGAGCATCTCTTACATACTCCTCCATAGTCTGCAGGAATGATGCTGGAGGCTGCAGGAAGTAATTGATAAATTTCATCAGTAAATTGGTAACTTAGGGGACAAAAAACAAACACTTAAAGAATCCAAGGAACATTTATCGAACCTGCTCAATCTTCAGGAATTTCTCACCACGCCCAATGTGTATAGTTTTACACACTTCATAAAATTCTGAAAGTCGTTCAGCCTATGTGACAAAAAAAATTGAAAAGAAACTTAGAAAACCCATCAATATTCAGCCTACACGTTTTCATTTCAACAGTCTCGAGTATTGAATCAATGGCTTATGGCTCAGAATTTAGTTTGGAACATGGATCAGTGCCAGCAGAGCTGGTGATGCTGAAGTGTGAACTGAACATTTTTTCGCAGTGTTCATATGTCAGTAATCCTCATTCAACAACACAAAGAGAGACTATGGGGGAAGAAGGATGCCTGACTCATGATATTTCCCACTGTCTTCATAGGGAAAGATAAACTAAACAAGGATGAGACCACTAAAAACTTAAATAAGAGCAGTCCCCCCCAGAAAACTGACTGTTTATCCATTTCAAGTATCCTGGTACATAGCTACACTATATCCTCATTGTGCTAATGTGGTCTGGCAAGAATTTTGGAATCATGTGCTGGTAAAACTGGATGGAAATAGCCCCAAAAACTAATTTGATGGATCTGCAAGAGAAAAAGGAGTAACAATATACCTGGTTAGTTGCTCTTTTGTATACATCAAGTGCCCTAACAGCATCATTTCTTTGCATCTCAAAGAACTGCAATAAGGAATAACATTTAAGTTTGATGAGAAAAATCAATCAAATAATATAACAATTGTTGGTAGATTTGACAAACTTATCCAAGGTTGTAAGCTTAAGAAAGTTCACCTTGTCAACCAGATTGATTGTTCCATCACTAATCGCAGTATAGATCTTAACACTCTCTAAAGCAACCTACCAGTAATGCACAAAAAAAAGTCAATAAACACCAGGGACCAAAGCCCAGTTGTGCACTGCTTAAAAACAAGCACTAAAAGTTAAGAAAGACAGAAACAAAGAACTAGACATTCATACTAACCATTGAGAGTGCATGCTGGATTATAACATTGTAAGACGACGCTCCTTGTGGCTGTAAAATTTCAGGAATTAGCCAATAGAATTGAAAACTTAAATGGTATCACATGAAGACGAACTGGTGTAACTTGTACACACAGTAGTTACAAAAGAGTCATTACCTGGCAAGCAAGAAGCCGAAAAAGGAGTTGCTGCAATGGTGGCAGATGATCAAGCAAAGCAACAGTATCAAGATCCTTGGTCCTCTGCAGATACCAGAATTATCCATGTACTTAGAAATACAGTTGCTGGCATCTAATGTTTCTTGACATAAAATTAAAAAAAAAACTTCCATTCCATTCAAGTGGGGAAAACTACTAATCAGCTGCATATATGACAAACAACTGGAACTCTGACAACATTATAAAATCACGAGTTACCAAGGAAAACATGAAGTACAGCAGATCACATAATTTCCTTGGTAAAAAAAAACATCGTTGCATTTCTAACTCCAGAATTTGAAATTTAATTGCTGCAAATAATGGCAACACATTTGTCTTGTGTGCTAGTGGTACCACAAAGTTCACATGGCTATAAGCAGAGATTGACTTTTGGGCATATGCACCATTTATGCATCCACAGACCACAGTTCCTAGATCAGGACAGAACAGACACTATAGTGCGTCACACGGCAGTATCTGAAGCAGTGACATTAATATGTAGCTACATGGACTACAACAAATATAAAAATGCAAATGAGATTCAAAAACGTTTCGCAAATGAAGGAGATAAAAGAAGTAAGCTTGCATTAGATTACATACCGGAGGATCTGTTTCTACATCATACTTCAACACCCGGAAACATTCAAGCCTCTCCTCTAAATATAAAGCATAAATGCGCACCCATGCAGAATAGTCCCAAGCTGAATGAAAAAATAGAAATAGAAGAATAAGTTTTAAATCAGAAATTATAATGCAATATACAGTACCAGGATAGCACTAACAACTAGTACCTTCTGCACTAGAGTCATCCTTAAAATAGGCCATGTTCAACATATGGGACCTAGATCTGCCATAATTAATAAGCTCTTCACGAAAAGTGGGATCAACTTCCCGAAGCGCACGATGAATGACAATCAACGTCTTCAGTGCAACCTAATGGATAAAATAATCAGTGCAAAATGTTCATGAGTACTTTGTAACTTCTTTTGTCTCATGGTACCACCCATGAAAAGCATTTAAAATAAGTAGAAGGATTCATGACATTAGTAGTTCAGTAAATAGTATGGCAATGTATAGGATCCATACCGCCCAGTTGCGCGTCTTCGAAAGACGTCTAGCAAGGGCATGAATGCAATAAGCTACATCTGCTCGTGGCCTAGCAGCAGAAATGGAATGGAAAATTTCTGCAAATAAATAAAGATGTTAGTTGTGGCAGCAACAAAAGAGGTTGGACAGTTATTGAAGATTTGAAATAAATCACTGCATAATCAAAT